GACGGCTTACCAGCTGTTATTAGTTTGTTTCGACATGTACGTCGACGGACTTGAGACGCAGAGCGGAGTTGACCGCGACAACGGGGTTCGAGTCCGGTGGAAAACAATTCCAGAAAGCAGGTAAGACAAAAACAAAAGCCAAAAAATAAAATGAACAAGTAAATAACAGGGTGAGAATGTGGTAAAATCTGAAACATGGTAAAAATCAGGGGGCTTTTCTTTTTCTGGATTGCTTTTGGGTTTAGGGAAGAGGGTGGCCAGGTCACTCTGTACTTTTTAAAACACTATTGGTTGGATTTAGGAAAAATGGTGGGTTGGCGGGGGGTTCAGTTGGTCAGTTAGTAAATCAGTCAGTCGACAGCAGCCTCTGGTGGATTAATGTGAAAAGAGCAGACGGGAATGGCACTCGTAAGAGAAATTGGAGATCTAAAAAAGTGTACACAGCAGCCTCTGGCGGATTCGCGAAAACAAAAACCCAGAAATGTATATAGCGGTACGTATTCAGAATGAAACCATTTTCTTAAAATGGTTTTAAAAAATTTAAAACTGCTTTTATCCTAGCCGAAATAAAACAAATAAGACTTTCTCCAGAAGAAAAAATATTAAAGGAAATACTGTGACAAATTCCTTGCTCTGTTAAAAATTATTAGGGAAATATTCGATAAAGAAAAATAAATTCACAGTTGGGCGAATCATTTTGACTTCAACTGTATGTATTAGTACAACCTTATTTTGTCTTCAGCTAGTGTGTTAAGAACAGATCAATCTCCCGTCAGCTCCCTCTTGGCAATTATCTCCAATAAGCTGAGCTGTTTTCTGTTGTCTCTCTGTTGCCCTTTTTCTGGAAGGTGCCAGCAGCGCCTCTCGATTCGCACAGGTTCCTTTGGGAGGCTAGCATATTGCTTGGCATATGTCTTTGACAGTGGCATAAATTAGGGACATGGATTTGTCTGTTGCGCTCAGGGGCTGATTTGAATTTTAGAATCACGCTACATCTCCCCCAGGCCTTTCTACAGTTATTGGGGAGAACATACAGTTGAAGTCAGAATGACTAACCCCTCCTCTGAGTTTTTCCCAAATATTTCTCGAATGATGTTTTAACTCAGCAACAAAATTTTCACAGTATGTCTGATAATATTTTTTCTTCTGGAGGAAGTCTTATTTGTTTTATTTTGGCTAGTATAAAAGCAGTTTAAAAAATTTTAAACCCCATATTAAGGACAATATTATTAGCCCCTTTCTTTGTTTTTGGATAGTCTACAGAACAAACCACTGTTATACCATGACTTGCCTAATCACTCTAACTTGCCTAGTCATCCCAGTTAAGCCTTTAAATGTCACTTTAAGCGAATTTCTAGTATCCTAGTATATCTAGTAAAATATTATGTGCTGCCATCATAGCAAAGATAAAGGAAATCAGTTATTAGAAATGAGTTATTAAAACTATTATGATTACAAATGTGTTGAAAAATCTTAAAATTAGGGGAAAAACTATTCAGAGTGGCTAATATTTATGACTTAAGTTGTATGTTTGTGTGTGTGTGTATTTTTCAGGTGGCGAAGGCCGTCTCTCACTCTCTGAATAACTGTGTGAACTGCTTACCTGGACAGAAGGATGTGGACATGGCCCTCAGGAGCATTGGAGAGGCCAGTAAGAAACTGCTTGTGGAAAACGTGAGTTTTTTTGTGGCGTCTACTACCAATACTAAACTTAAAGGCGACCTATTGTGCAAAAATCCCTTTCATAATGGGTTTAAGCACAGTTATGTGGCAACAGTCTGTGAATATAACCTGGTAATAATGTATGTAATAAAAAATGTAATATGTAATAAAAAAAAATGTATAATCACTAGGGATGTAACGGTATCAGAATTTCACGGTACGGTAATACCTCGGTATGAATGTCACGGTACGGTATTTATTGAATCATTTACAGGAAAAACAAAACTAATGAAAATACTCCAAAAAAGTGCCAAAAGTGTCAATGACATACAAATTAGCCATCTATCTGTAAGCTTTGAAACAGGAACTTCAATTTTAATAACAAAAAAATATTAAACCATGTAAAAAAAAAATAAAGTTTCAATTTAGTATTGTTGAAAACTCATCACATTCAACATTTAATCACTCACTCACTTAGATAGAGATGGGGTTTAAAGGAAAATTATCATATAAATATAATCTGGTAAAAGCTGGTCTCTCTGGGTATTTACAATGTCCCCTGCAACAGAAAAACCCCTCTCATTTGGGACTGAGGTTTCTGGGACAAGAGAGATATGACTTGGCCCAGGTTGACAGCAGTGGGTAACGTTGTGCATTGTCTTTCCCCCACTTGAGCGGACAAACCATGAGTAAGATAGAGGTCTCATGTCTGCATCAATCTGAACAGTGTGCTGACAACACCGACAACACAGCTGATAAGAACTCGCGTGACAACACAGCTGATAAGAACTCGCGCGACAACACAGCTGATAAGAACTCGCGCGACAACACCGCTATT